ATTAAAAAATATAAAATTTTTAAAAAAATTTAAATTTATAAAATATAAATAATATAAAAAACACTAAAACTTTTACCAATTTCACAAACATCTCTAATTGTACCAAATAAAGTAAAAAGAACTGGCCTTTTAATGTCATTCTGTCCATCCCGTCAGTACCGCTTCTATGTTTTTTTTGCTTATATCATCTTCTATAATTGGGCTCGTGGGGTTCGTTCACCATGAAAAATTAAGATTATAGTTACAGGAAAGTACACTTATTTGACATAGGGCATCCATAACCAATAATGTTAAGATTATATAAAATTTAAAATAGGGTTAAATTCAGCTATTTTTTTATTCCCTTATTTTTTACTTTATTTTTATTTTATTTATTTATTTTTGGACAATCCAGCTATAGTTTTTATACTATGAATTTTCGTTCATTGTCATCCTTATACATTCAAATTGCTCATCATGATCCTTGTACCGTAGATAAGCTAACTATTGCAGTCCGTCCACCTGCGCCATTACTAGTTAGAGCCCAGCGTTCCCTTTCACACCGTTAAGTTGGATGTTTTTCATTTAAAATAAGTTAAAATTCCAATTTAGTATCTCAACTTTTAAATTTAAGCCAAAAATATCCTTGAACTTTGAAAAGCATCCTTAAACTTTAATTTTTGCTATCAATTTAATCTTTCCGTTGACAAAAATGATAGGTGATATGTTCAATTATCACAAAATCAATTCTTTTTTAAAATTTTGACATGTAAATTAAAAAATAATAATTTAGCGATAACTTTTTTATATTATCTTTTTATACTACTTTTTTATATAATCTTACGTGTTATTTAAATAATTGACTTTTTTTATTTATTTAAAATTTATAACATTAAGTATATCTATTTATTTAATAATAAATAAAAATTATAAAAAAAATTATATAAAAAAATTATTCCCATCATTTGCTACAGTTGCATGTTGCATTCTCCACATTGGATTCTTATACATCCCACCTATTTCAATATTCCTCTTTAATGGGACCCACATCAATATTTCCCTTTGACATTTTTGCAAATGTTTCATGCATTTATCACGATCAAGTCTGAACGTAATGGAACCGAACTTTTAGACCCAATGATTCGACCCCAAGTTTTAAGTGCTTGAGTGAGGTGATCGGAGTTTCGAATTTCACCACCGTCTTGAACTTCATAAAAAAGCGACCTGATGGCCGCGCGCACCACCGTCGTGAACTTCATCAAAAGCGACCTGATAGCCGCGTGCCTCATTTGAGGGGGTGGAATGTTCACTCGATTTGAGAATCAGTTGCTAACAACTAATTCATACTGACTTCCTAACCAT